TTCCTAACCAGCATAACCTGTGAAGCGTGAGTAATTTATCTAGGGCGGGAGAGTTCCTTCTTCACAACATCATCTGGTGTACCTCAGCATTGCTAATCCGATGTCCCACCAGGTCAGACCAATGCTTTGGAGACACCGAAGGTCAAACACTGACATCTTCCGTATGTCCTTTGCATATGGGGGCCACGTTTCTCATCCATAAAGCACCGCCGCAGTGTAAACGCTTCTTTTGACAGATAAACTGACGTCACTTCGGCACCATAGGTGCCGGAGGTAGGCAAAAGCTTACTCGGCCTTTAGTATTCGAGAAATATTCTCATCTCCAGCTAGTCCACCGGGACCTACGCAGCCGCCCCAGCTGGTCCACCGGGACCTATGCAGCTGCCAGGGTAAGCAAATTTACCTACCAAGTCGATCGGCTCACATGTAAGCATGAGGTGTGGGTTCGATCCCATCCAGTCACGTAGAAGCACTTTGCAGGTGTGAAGCGCATGCCAAACTGTGCGGCAGAGTCATTTAGGTTATTTAAAATCGTTTGCATCTGGGAAGGATATGAACCAAGGAGAGCAGTATCGTCCGCATACTCAATGTCTGTGAGCGAACGTCCAGGGGCATTTCGACTCCCGAGGTTTCAGAAGCAAGCGGAGAAATTTCAAGCAGCATATCAATAAAAAGGTTGAAGAGGAAAGGGGAAGTGGACGGCCTAGCCTTACACCACTGGACGTGGTCAACTCAGGCGAGAGCTTCCCACATACTCGTACGCACCCAGGGGAGTTCGCATACAGTGCCCTCATAAGGGAGAGAAATTTAGAAGGAACAACTTTGATCGCCAGACACTGTCAAAGTTGCTGACGACCGACAGAATCAAAAGCAGCTTTCAAATCCAGAAAAGCTACCAAAGTGGGGCGTCTGAAGGAGCCGCACTGTTCGAGAATTTGTCACAAGGTAAAGATATGGTCGCTGCATCCTCGACCAGGGCGAAACCCAGCTTGATTCTCACGAACCTGTCCCTCCCGATAATCCATCGACCTGCGCAAAATAATGCCAGAGAGCAACGGATACCAGGTGATATTCTGTTTCCATTCCAGATCTTCTGCAGCATGGTTGTCAGACTGTTCACCGGGACCTTCCCACCTTCTTTGAAGAGCGCGGAGTGTAGACCATCTGGGCCAGCTGCCTTGTGTCACTTCGGGATTAGAACCTCACGCTGAATTTCGGTTGCTGATGGTGGGCTGGTGTCAGTGCTTCATTCGGGCCCGCCTGGTTCTTTCAGCGGTTGTGTTGAAGGAGACCAGGTGAACTGTTCTTGGAAGTGCCCAGCCAACCGCTCAAGACGGCGATTGAGAGACTGCATTTCTGTTCCGTCTTTTTTGCATATTGTCTCACTGACACCTGCCTTCTTTTGACCCGTTGGTCGGCTGCAGCGAAAGCCTCCCTCGTCTCCTGGACCTTCGAAATCCACCGGCTTTCTCTGTCATTCTTCAAGCTTCTGATTATTTGGTGTTTCATCAATCTGCGTCGCCGGTTACTGCTATGACCTGTCTGGCAGCAATAAGATCTGCTGATCTCGACGATATCTGGTGTCCCTTTGGTTGAATCAATTGGCTTGGACAAATAGTTATGAAAGCTCATAGCGTAGCTTTTTCAACCCGCTTCCATTCAACTACCATGTGATCTACGTCATCCGCATAACTGTGCGTTTCCAGCAGCTTTCTAGCCAGATCAGCTACTGAAACTTGTCGAAGTTGATTAACGGAGATTTTCATTTGTCACGTGCAGTGCTGGCAGAAATCAAAGTGCCAAGCAAGCTCGCACGATGGCTTGATCGGAGTCAAGCCGCGTATCTCAGAAGGAACGACAATCCTTAACTGAGGCTCTCCATCCGACCAAATGGTCCGACTGAATCCACGACTGTCTTGTGGTAGGTGGTCTCGGTGTGAGCGTTGGTGTTGTAAGTTCCTACCGGTCAGGAACAGACGATGATCTGCACACAATTGAAGAAGCCGCTCTCCATTATCCGTACACTCAGCACCGACTCTAAATCGACCACCTAACTGTGCTTCTTCCGGACTTGGTCGTCTAACTTGGGCACTCATATCACCCGCCAGGACTACTATATCCGTACATCTTGCCGACCGGAGCAGTCGTAACAGATCTCGATAAAACTCGCCCTTCTCAGTCACATAACTGCAGTCTGTCGGCGCGTATGCCGATACTGCAAATAAACACCGTTTACCGCATTGGCTGTGGTAATCTTAATTGAGTCAGACAACCGCACAGCCAAACGCGACTCCCCACTGGGATCCAGTCCATTTAGGTGCTTTCAGTCTTGGGGCTGAGTGCAACTCCCACAGCGTAGATACCACGGGCCATTGCGTCCGGATCGTCGGATACCCGAAGAGTGAAATGTGGAACAACTGAGCTCGTCCTATGCCGCCTAATACGCACTACCAAAGCCGGAGTCACGTATGACTATTGCAGAGACCAAATACGATGACGGAGAGGAGAACCAAGGTGTCCAACATGACACAGAGTACGAGCAGTAAATGTTTTAACGTGTACCAGATCTTTTGAGGTTAGTAAGTGACTATTTTTGTTTATTTTTCAGGGCGATGGTTTAGACACGAAACATTGGTTAGCGGACTGGCGGATGGGTTGATTGCGCTGTATCACTCGATGGATGGAGAGGGGTCTGTGTTAGGGCCGGTGAGTGAAGAGCTGTAAGGGCAATGCCACCTCCCGGTTATCCAGGCCGAATAGGGGATTTGGTTGAGGCACCCAACTCTGAGCACGTGACCCAAACGCCTGATCCACAGTTCAGTGGGTAGTTTTTGTTGGGGGAACATGCCTTAGGCCTCTGACTCAAAAGACTGGACCACGAAATGACGGTTGTTAGGATTTTTTGGGGGCACCCTTCTCGGAGCCAGTTACTCAATAGTCTGACCCACTTGGCTGCAAGGGGCTAGGCTGGTCTGAGGATGCAGGTAGTAACGGATAACTGTATCAATCCAGTATGGTGCCCGTGCAAGATGTTGGCGCCAATATAAGGGAATAAGATCGCAGGATCAACGTGCAGAAATCTGTCGCAAGCCATCAGTCGATCTTACCATGATGGTATAACAACGGACATCGGCAGCAGCTACCAGTTCATCATCGAGGTACCGGCGTCATCCGTCAGTTCATGTAAGTTTCGGTGCAATTACATCTCGCTCCCATTATAGCACCATGCACATGCTGCCCAGATACACCCACATAATGGATAACCCGGCAATATTCCGTAACCGTACACATGAAATACAGCTCTAGGTATCCTAGTGCAGTGAGATCACGGAAACTCCAGCTAATATTCCAAGGCCAATTTAATTGTTAGCAAACACATCCGATTCTTTTTGAAGGCTCTGCAAGTTGTTGAACGACTGGTTCCGCCCCTCAGCCCCTGACGCTCAATGTACAGTTCAAGCTTCCACAAAATGGCTTAAACGACGCTACTTAAATATCTTTCGGTGGGGCCCTGAACACTAGTCATCCCTGTGCTCTGCTCCCGTTATGATAGACGAGTTCCCCCAAGAGAACATTCACCAGAGTTTGGGCATTTAAACTACCGACTTCACTTCTCCTTCGCTGTTCCTTCGCTAGCAGTTTTCGGACGAAAGCTTATCGTACACTTTCAGGAATCATAAGTCATGGTGTTTCACTGCGAATCTATGCTCCTTCGTTTCATCTAACATGAAGCATCCTCTCTCCTGCTTGTTAGGTGAAGAACAAAATTGTTGGGGGGTTTGAAAACTCTTCTTGGAGAATTCCTCCTGTAATTGAGGTCGAGAAGCACTCTACAGTTGTTTCATCCTCATTGGGAATCATCAGCAGAGTGAGGGGAGTTTCGAACCAACGACCACGCGTCTAGTGGTTGAACACGAAACCAGTCGGATGCGATCAACTGGTCAGCGGTGTGATTAACTCGACTGGATGTAACACCGATCATCCTTCAATCATTTAGTCCACATCCCGAGGTAATGTGTTGAAAGGCTCCTCGACTGGTCAGGTAAAGGTTCCAATAAATTAATGCATGCTCCGTTTTGAAAGTCTCATCAATGAATCAGTTCTGGTTTGCGACCAACCCATCTTCCTGCTCTTTAATGTAGGAAAAAACGATGATCAAACTGACTTCGGGTTCCATGTTACATTCTAAACTAATCTTTTGTCTGGTGAATTAACTACTCTAGAGTTTGCTCTGTTTTCATTTGGCCAGTGGGATTCTTTGGCTATTATGAGGGTTACATAAATCTTAAGCTGCGTCACATTCGATGGACTGGTAATAGCCATCGTTTAGCATCACTAACAGCAGTACACTAGTCTAGTGATATTCGGTAAGTCCATGTGGAAAGTCACTCTCTGGACTGTTTTTGGAGGTGATCTCTATTCAGAGAGAGTCTCGGATTCTATCGTGATTGACTGGGCACTAGCCAAGCATTCTGTGGAGGGGGAGCTCCTAATAGGATATTCACGAAAAAGCATTGATACTTGACAATCTTTTAGAAAGATCGGGCCACAAAGTATGTCTGTTGTAGGGAGGAAAGTCATTCTAGAGGTGAATGAGCGATACAGACAGGGATAGCTGTTGCGCTGGTTGCCGACATAAGTTCTATTCTAGTGACAAACACGAACCAACATCTGCTTGTTTGCCAGTTATTCGAGTATTCACTTTAACAAACTTGGTACGTTATCATGCATGTACAGGCATTCAAAACTTGCCATTGGGTATTTTTGACAAAATTTTCCCTAGATTTGGCAGTCAGTAGTCTGTTCGCAAGCGCCTTCTGACCAATCAGCATGGAGAACAGCGATCGTCAGACAGACATGGTGAAATGACTGACGAATAGGATTTTTCCTTCACGCTGATTGGCCATTCGGGTCAAAACAAGAATACTATATGGGTAGTCACACTGGATTCTCGGTTTCCTCGTTTGCACGTTTGCTTTCTGCCTCCTGTACCCTCCACCATGCCGGCTATTGGAATCGATTTGGGCACGACCTATTCCTGCGTCGGAGTGTTCCAGCATGGAAAGGTGGAGATCATTGCCAACGATCAAGGAAACCGGACAACTCCGAGTTATGTGGCGTTTACCGACACCGAACGCCTCATCGGTGATGCAGCTAAGAACCAGGTTGCAATGAATCCAACCAATACCGTTTTCGATGCCAAGCGATTGATCGGTCGCCGATTCGATGATGCTTCGGTTCAATCCGACATGAAACACTGGCCATTCAATGTTGTTGATGACAAGGGCAAGCCGAAGATTCAAGTGGAATACAGAGGCGAGACAAAGACATTCTCGCCCGAAGAGATATCGGCCATGGTTTTGGGGAAAATGAAGGAGATCGCCGAAGCCTACTTGGGCACCACTGTGAAGGATGCAGTCGTCACTGTGCCTGCCTACTTCAATGACAGTCAACGTCAAGCTACGAAGGATGCGGGTCGTATCGCCAACTTAAACGTTCAGAGAATCATCAACGAGCCCACAGCTGCTGCGATCGCTTATGGTTTGGACAAAAAGGTTGGTGCCGAGAGGCATGTTCTGATTTTCGATCTTGGTGGTGGTACTTTCGATGTGTCGATCCTCACCATCGAGGAGGGCATCTTCGAGGTGAAGTCCACCTCAGGTGACACTCACTTGGGCGGTGAGGATTTCGATATCCGTATGGTGAATCACTTCATTCAAGAGTTCAAGCGGAAACACAAGAAAGACATCAGTGAAAACAAACGCGCTGTTCGTCGTCTTCGCACTGCTTGTGAGCGCGCAAAACGCACACTGAGTTCGAGTGCGCAAGCCAACATCGAGATCGATTCTCTATTCGAAGGCATCGACTTCTACACGTCCATTACCCGTGCACGTTTTGAGGAACTGAATGCCGACCTGTTTCGTAGTACAATGGACCCAGTGGAGAAGGCTTTGCGTGATGCAAAGATGGACAAGCAGGATATCCATGAAATTGTCCTTGTCGGTGGTTCAACTCGTATTCCAAAGGTGCAGAAGCTGCTTCAGGATTTCTTCAATGGTAAGGAGTTGAACAAGTCGATCAATCCGGATGAGGCCGTCGCTTATGGTGCTGCTGTGCAGGCTGCTATTCTAAGTGGCGATAAATCCGAGCAGGTGCAGGATCTGCTTCTGCTGGACGTAGCTCCGTTGTCCTTGGGTTTAGAAACCGCCGGTGGTGTTATGACCGCTCTGATTAAGCGGAACACCACAATTCCCACGAAGCAGACGCAGACGTTTACAACCTATTCGGACAATCAGCCTGGAGTATTGATTCAGGTGTATGAAGGCGAGCGTGCGATGACTCGTGACAATAATCTGTTGGGGAAGTTCGAGCTGTCGGGGATTCCTCCGGCCCCACGTGGAGTGCCACAAATCGAAGTGACTTTCGACATAGATGCGAACGGTATTCTGAATGTGTCGGCGGTGGACAAGAGTACGGGTAAGCAGAACAAGATAACGATAACGAATGATAAGGGACGTTTGTCGAAGGATGAGATTGACCGGATGGTGGCTGACGCAGAGAAATACAAGGCTGATGATGAAAACCAGCGTGATCGTGTGGCAGCGAAGAACTCACTGGAGAGTTACGCCTATTCGATGAAGCAGACGGTAGAAGAGGAGAAGGTGATGGACAAGATTCCGGAAGCTGATCGCAAACTGATTTCTGAAAAGTGCTCGGAAACAATCAGCTGGCTCGAGACCAATCAGACGGCTGAGAAGGAGGAGTTTGAACATAAACAGAAGGAACTCGAGAAGGTGTGCACTCCGATCATCACCAAAATGTATCAGGCTGCTGGTGGCGGTGAAGGAATGCCGGGCGGTATGCCTGCAGGATTCCCTGGTGGAATGCCCGGTGGAGGGGCGGCTGGCGCAGCTTCAGGTGGCAAGGGACCCACTATTGAGGAAGTTGACTAGATCCCTATGTACTCTGAATGTGCTCTGAGTAAACGATGCCTGGTTTGTGCTGGTCTTTGTTCTGATTTTTTGCGATGTATGCTTAGTTGGGCCGGAGCTTAAGACATATGGTCATCTACCTACGTGTTTTCTCGTGGTGGGCTCTGTTGTTCTTAAATTTATTTAGGACCCGTGAGGTCTCAAGAAGTAATCTTTTGGATGGCTAATGGTAGCGCGTTTCGTTCACCGCATTCCGTTTGTGTTGGTGGGTATTCGATGCACGTAAGACGTCAATGCCAAGATCGCGTACACGGATAGCCAAGGGAAACGACTGACTGACATTTCGCGGTAGTTGATTATTTTGAAGGGAACAGTGATCGAGGAAATCTGTTTAGGTGAGACACTGTAGGACGCACAGTTGCGTGTTGACGCCAGGATTGCATGGGCAATAGGATGTAAAAGCAGCCTAGAGAGTCGCGATGGGCTAAGTAGCTGTAGAGTTGGTTTAAGCAGTGGTTTCATACTGCCGTCATCAGGACAAGAACCTGCGTAAGCCCTGACTTGGGGATGTGTATCGGGCAGTTAGATCGGTTCGGGATTCCGAGTGGATGGATAGGGTTGGGTCTCAAAACTGACGGAAGTCTCCCCTCGGACCTATCCGGATCTTTCATTTATGATGTTTTTAAGCAGATGAATGTGCTACACCAGACCGCTTCGTGTTTCAGTTTGTACGATATTCGAGATATCGCTACTCATAAAGCTGTTGAAAGCTCTCCGATGCCCCACGACCGATTTCGCCCTTCTTGGGCTTATCAGGTGTGCGCAGTTCCCAACTAAAACATAAGGCAGCGCATTGTGTTGCTTAAAAACGTCACATCTAGGTGAGTCTTTCTTCAAAACTAAAATGGTATCCATGAGTGTATTTCGCCTATTTTGTGCAGTTTGGATTCATGCAGAACATAAGGTTGACGGAAATTCGGGGGCTGCACCTACCTGATGAACCACAGGAAAGGCGACCCCACTATGAGTAGTGTATTACGTCTGGACAGTGATCTGTATTCTCTTGGCGTTCACATCACTTGTTTGAACAGGCCTCCGTCTGTCCTGGAACAGTCATTATAGTGGGGAAGAACTTGAATCGACTTTCGTTAGAGCTCACCAACAGTGCCGAGGTCTGAACTCCGGATATCTGACATGTGAAGCGAACGTGTTACCGCTACTCCACCAGTACACGCATTAGCGACGCGATTCGTGTGCTCAAACGACGAACCGGAGGCTGTCATGGTTGCATCGATCGATTGGCTTGAACACTAGAATCGTCCAGTCAGGTAGTGCCAGGGACGCTCACAACGCTCGTTTGGACAATTCTCCTCTCGTTCTGATGCAATGGTTTATTAATTACCTCTCACTGCGAATGGTCACGTGACACCAATGTGAGCGCTCGTCTGGAGACTGTCACGTGCTCTGAATTGTATTCGGGGTTGTTTTCAGCCACGATCTTGGGAATGCGATGAAAAATTTCCACTTCGATTTATGCTGGTGCACCATGGTAAACCTGAATACCACTCACTCGTTCTCCATCTGGGCCCTTGAAAACCCGCTAAAGTTGAGTATGAGTCACTAAATGGGATTAATTACCTTGAGGCATATTCTCATATGACAAAAATTTTGTGCTTTTTGAGAAATACATAGCTTCATCCTAGCCTTGAGTATTTCAACCAATGAACCGTGCCGTGAGCTTATCGAAATCTAAATTTTCCGCTAATTCCTGTCTTGCACAGTTGGAAAGGTTCGTGAACATTTGGACTGCTCCTGTCTAGACTTGGGCAACCTGGCAGTATCTCAGCCCTCGTGCTTCCTTCGGGTGCCCTGGCAGCTAGGCGTACCACACCATCTTGTGAGAAGGTTCACTGATGTGTATCACTCATTAGTGCCATGTGACACTTCCAGTGGGGTCTAAGTCAGGCAATTTCGGTACCGTAACATGCCTCCACTTCAGTCATGGATGAGTTGCTTCCTCCAGAGTGGAGTTGACAACTGAAACAACAACGAATGAACCCCTAACGCTTACTTCTCAATAATAAAAGTATCTTTTTATTCCGAGATTTCTGAATATGAAATAACGAAAATCGTTCAGCTGTAGCACCCTTTCGGCGCCATACCGCTGAACTACTGCCAAAATGCCCAAGCCTAGACAGGAGTACATTAGATTCCAGGATTGGATTCGAATCCATTGACCTTCCGGTCAGCAGGTTCGCAGTTTAACCGCTGGTCTGTCTGGGGTTCAATGACGGTGGCCAACAGGGAGTTGCGATTGGAAAAGAACTCATATAATCGACTGATTAACCGGTTTTGTCCTATTCGTATTGAACTTCGACACACTCCCGTGCCCATGGATTTCCGGGAAAGATTTGCGCATTAGCTGCCAACCTCTCAAAACGTTCCAGGAATCACCTATGATCGCCAGATAAGTACTGGAATCTAACCTATGCTCGAGAGTAATTTCATAGCAGTGCTAGTGTTTGGCTATAATTCCTGTGTTCGACTTGAATTCCTCCACTGTTCACTGTGGGAGAAAGGGGGCAAACTGTGTTGCAATCGACGGTACACGCTAGCTCCATCATGATTACAACTGAAGTCCCATGCCTCATTTTTTCGTTTGCATTATAGCAGCATGAGGGCTGTCCCGATGATGGTCCATCCGACCTGAAGGAATTCTGAAGTGTAACCTCAAAAACCTCTTGCACTAGACAGACCCTGTCTAGGCTTGGGCGACCTGGCAGTATCCCAGCCCTCGTGCCTCCTTCGTGTGGCATGGCAGCTAGACCCTGAAAGGGTGCTACAGCTGGACGATTTTTTTTAGACAGACAAAGGCTGCAAAGGTTCAGCAGGTGTCATACCTCGAGAACAGGTTGAAAGTCTATCGTACTAACTGTCATTACTTACGGAGTTTGTCAAAGTTCGCATGTCAAATGAGCACTGGAAATGATAGGCGGTGTATAAATCGACGGTATATTAATAACACTTGTGGATCAGAGTTGGGCGCTGTCCTCAACTCATTCATGTGATCGGAAAATTAATGACAGGAGCTTTTTCGTTGTTGAAATCTTCTATGCTTTCATGTGAGTGATTCGGATGTTTGCTTCCGCTCACATCAGACTACCAGCTCCAAACGAGTCCCGTATGAGGAGGCACGTGGTGAAGCGAGAGGGTTTTGAGGATTTTTCCAACTGGGGTTTCGTGCTCCCAGTAAAGCCAATCCATGTTGAATAGTTGTTTTATCCTTATTCAGAATCATCAGCAGTGCGTCTCTCACGAAACTCCAGGGAGTTTGGAACCCCCGACTTCCAAGATAGTAGTCTGAACACTGTTCGGCCACGATTGGCTGATCAGCAGTGTGATTAGCTCTCACGGGATCCACATCATGTGGTCACGTGAGATGCGTGAGTTAATCACAATACTGTACAACCGGTTGTGACCGAACGGCTAAGTGCATCAACCACTAGCCAGGAGGTTATCGGTTCGAAACTCCCCAGTGGAGTATTTTGAGATTCGCAGTGCACATGCTTCCCAAGAAAGATGAAATAGCTGTACAGTGCTTCTCGACTTTTCACCACGGACGGGCTTCACCTACGGGATGGAGTCTTCATTAAATTCGACCTGTCATCGTGCGCTATTTGAGACGGTGCAAAAATAGTCGGGAGAAATTTGTCTGTAACTGGAAAGCCAGAGGCAATCTCCTGTCCCAGTGACTAGAGTCAATGCACAGGTGGTGAGACACATTCAACGCTTTAAAAGTAGAGCCGTATGCAATTGATCGTGAGCCCCGTGATGCTACAGTTAAAGAACAGGTATCAAGCAGTGAGTGGTCTGTTCTGTGAGGTATATTTCAGTTTCTTGATGTAATCACTTCACTCTCTTTTACCCCCACTTTGTTGGTGAATTTAAAAGTACAGAATTTAATAGGGCTCGTCGCCAGTGCCAAGAGTAGTATTTCACACGTCAGATGTCCAGGAATGGAAGTTCCGCACAGCCGATGAGGTTCAATGAGAGGGAAATTCGACTCCAGTGCTTCCTTGCCGTAACCAGAATGATCATGTTGAAACAGGACTGCACAAATGCTGTGGCTACACAAAGTTACTAGCCCAATCTACTCATTACCTCGGCAACAATCTTTCACACGTGGTGAAGAGAAAATCATCCATGGTATTCTTTCTCTCTCTCTCTGTCTACGTGTCTCTTGTTCTCCATTCTATGCTGGACCGTTTCAACACTTGGTATAAGTACACCAGGATGAGATTTTTACAATAAATTCAGGGAAAAACCGGTTCATCACACAAATCACATCCGTTATACTGAAGTAGTTTAGCGTAGAGTGAAAGTACCTAACTTAGGGATGTAGAGGGCCCAGGAGCCACCCAGTAACAACAGTAAGAATGGAGATCAAGCTACCTGCAATAAGCGGGAGATGAATGATGAAGCGGCATACCCAGTGACCTGTGCCTGGTTTTAGAGAGGCAACTTTACCTTTACTTTACTTTACTTTCTTTTTTGAAGTGATACTTTCGTTAGCCCCAAGTTACTAATTAGGATAAGATAACTCCTGTTCACCTGGTAGCCGTCATCAGAACACATTCAGTCATGCGATATAAGTTGGATGAACCCTTCTAGACAGCTCACTACCTATGTCGGCTCACATGGGTTTTGTTTCCTACTTGAACACCAAAATGGGTGCACCTGCAGATCAGTAGTCAATTACCAAGGAAGGTTCATCTCAACACGTTCGATCTTGAGTAGTTGGCTGCACACAGCGCTGCATAGTTGTTCCCTAACTGACCTAGTGGAGCGACACAACAACAACAGCCAGGACAGTTCAGCTTCTGAATTCTGTCCGTGATCTTGAAATTTTCACTGACTGTCTACCAAAACAACCCAGTGTATTGATCAGTCAAGTATGCATTTCATTCCGTTGGTCGTTTTGCGCTTCTCGTTGTGATGCGTAAACACGTGCGGACGAATCT